GGTGGCCCTGTGTCCGTGTGCTGGGTGTGTGTCCGTCCCTCCATCCTCCAGCCGGGTCTGCATCCCTCCACCCCCATGGCTGATCCCCATCTTCTCCATCCCCATGGCTGGGTCTGCATCTGGTTCTTCATCCCTGCATTCCCACGTGTAACCTTCCTCCCTCTCTCTGTCCCCACACTGGTGCCCATCTTCCTTCAGCCCATCTTCCTCATCAAGGTCCTTGACTCCTTTAACCTCTCCATATCAGATCTCCATCCTTCCAGCCCCATTCCTGTGTATCTCCTTCATCCCTGCATTCCCATGTGTGACCTTCCTCCCTCTGTCCACACACTGGTCCCCATCTTTCTTCATCCCATCCTCTTTCATCTCCCCTTCCTCATCAAGATCCTTGACTCTAACCTCTCCATATCAGATCTCCATCCTTCCCACCCCATTCCTGTGTATCTCCATCCCTTTGCCTCCTCCATCCCAACAGTCTCATCATCCCTCTGTCCCATTTGTGACCTTCCCATGTGTGACCTTCCTCCCTCTGTCCCTACACTGGTCCCCATCTTCCTTCATCCCATCTTCCTCATCAAGGTCTTTGACTCCTTTAACCTCTCCATATCAGATCTCCATCCTTCCAGTGTATCTCCACCTCATTCCAGTGTATCTCCATCCCTTTTCCTCTCCATCCCAACACCTGTCCCCGCAGCCAAACCCCATATCCCTCCATCCCTACTGCTGGTGCTCACATCCCTCAGTCCCCACAGCAGATTCCTGTGTCCCTCCATCTCTGCAGCTGCTCCTTGTGTCCCTCTGTCCCCAGGGGTGTCCCTGGCAGTTTTCTCTGTCCCCAGGGGTGTCCCTGGCAGTGGCAGTGCCCCCATCACCCCACACCATGGCACCCACACCGTCCCTACCGCGTCAAGGCTCTGCAGACGGAATCCATAGGCAGCTCCTCTCTTGCTGCTGTTCATGTAATTCCCGAAGGCCAGGACAATCTGTGGGGACACCAGGGTTGGGCACAGGGGCCAGGAGGGGGCACAGTGCCCAGGGACACTCTGTGTGCACCACGGGGCCGCCTCCCCCCGAGCCCTCACCTCGAGGATGTGCCGCAGTTTGCTGGAGGACTTGAGGGACATGGAGGCGGCGATGATGGCGTTGAGTTGCTGTGGGAGGGAAGGAGGGAAGTGTTGGGGGAGATGAACCAGGAAAGCCTTATAAATATGATTGTCTGGCAAAAGATTTTGATAATATAGAAACTATAAGTGAGATTGAAATGAAAGCAAGCTTTGAGATCCTCCAGTTACTGAACAACAGGAAAACAATGGCATGGCCAGCTGAAGGTGATCCCCTTTTGATGGAACAACACCCTCTGCTTGCAGGCAGGCCCAAGGGTCAGAGCAGACCCTACAGCTTGGCAGAAGGGGCCCAAAGAGGAGTTTGTAGGGTTTAAAATGTAATACAGTGTGGTAATGTAATGGTTGTTATAGGCTGTTTGTAAATACTGTAGGATTTGTATCTTGTGCTAGATTGGTTAGTGGGAATCAGAATATTCAACACAGAAGAAGATTTATTGTATTGAAATGGGAACTTTGCTGTCTTAGCTCTTACCTCTTGCCTTTTATGCTCTTACCCCTTTTACTCTCTCACCCTCTCATCCTCTCTCCCCCTCTCTTCTCTCAGCCTGCTCTGAGCTGTGGCTGCAGCTCCCAGCAGGGCCCTGCACCCAGGCCCTTTGCAATAAACCCCAAATTCCACAGCCTGGCTGCAGAGATCTCTCATCTCCATCCATCCTGACCCTCCTACCCCATCACTCCTCCAGGGCAGGGTGTGAGTGTGGCCACAGCCCCTGTCCCCAGCACGCACCGGCATCAGCAGCTGGGCCGTGTCCCCGAAGCTGCCCAGGAAGATCATGACGTTCATGCGCTCGGCCAGCCGCGGGATCTTGCTGAAGCGCACCATGAACTGATCCTCGTCCGACAGCTCCTCCGGCGCCTGCTGCTCCCGCTCGAACTTCCCGATGAGGCTGCGCTCGTACTCGGTGGGCAGGAAGCGCAGCAGCAGCTCCAGGAAGTCGAGGCTCAGGGCTTGCTGGTCGTACCTGCATGGAAGGGACACCCCCGGCGCTGTCAGGCCCTGCTGCAGGTCCCCAAGATCCCCTGTCACCCTGAGCTGTTCCATTGTCCCTCTGTCCCCACAGCTGGCTCCTGCATCCCTCCATCTTTCTGTATCTGGATCCTGCATCTCTCTGTCTCTCCATACAGATCCCTCCATCTCTCTGTCTTTGGTCCCCACATCCCTTCCTTTCCTGGCTGGTTCCTGTATCTCTCCATCCCCACAGCTGCTCTCTGCATCCATCTGTCTGTCCGTGCCTGGCTCCCACTGCCCTTTGTCTCAGATCTCATCCCTGCATCCCTCCATCCCCACAGCTGGTGCCTGCATCCTTCCACCTCTCTGTATCTGATCCTTCCATCCTCTATCTCTCTGTAACTCATCCCTCCACCATCCATCTCTCTGTAT